TATGGAGTTGCAGAATTGAAAATAAATTTTAAAAAACCTAAAATAGTAGTTTAAAATCTTACAAACATAAAAATGAGCTGGCTAAGAAGATAAACCTTCAGATGTAATCTAAAAACATCGGGGTTGTCAGATTGGGAGCTTTACTATCAGGCATCTGTACTTACATGGGTTAAAGAGTGGGTAAACTTGATGCATAGAAGACTATTACTATTGGAGAGGCATGATCTGCAACTGGGGTGGCACACATTTTTGTGGTATGGCAAGAATAAAATACATAGATATTATCCAAAGACACTATGTAAGAAATGCACTACTTTTAGTATGGGAAAAAGTTAAAACAAAAAATTATAGTAAAATACCAGTCTGGCTTTCTACGATGGAAGCACTGATACATCCAAATGACATTATTGGAAAGAACTGTAACATATAAAGACATTTTAAATGAAGATGGGGAACTTATGATGATGCAGAAATTGCAAAATCAAGGGGTAGATTTAGCATGGTGGCCATACTTACAAATACAATCAAGATATGTGAAAAATGCAAAGACATATGGATTTCATAAAGAACCAACAGCACTTGATCAGATATTCTTAAGGACATATGAAAAATTAATAAAGAAAATATATAGTTATTTGTTAAGTATTAAAATGGAAGATGAACAAATGAAATAAACTATGATAGTTTGGGCAAAAAACTTTGGATACACCATAGAATTAGATAAGTGGGAAAAACTCTGGGATAGAAATTACAAATTGACAATGACAACCACTTATAAGGAAAACCTGTATAAAATGTTCCAAATGTGGCATTTGCCACCAGAAATACTAGCAAAGTTATTTAAAAATATGTCTGCAAAATATTGGAAATGTAATCAGATACCAGGTCCTTATTTTCACATGTGGTGGACTTGTCCAAAGGCAAAAAATACATACCATATTTTTCGGAGTCTAAGACACCTTTTCTCCTCAAAAGAGAGGCTGAAAATTTGGGTGCATCTTATACACCGAATACAGCATTTTTTGTCTCCCGAGGCCCCGCACCCTTCACCAAAATGGCTGTGCATACCCTTATGGAGGCTTTCAGAGAGCTCCTGGGAGCTGGGGAGGGATGAGAAAAGAATGTGCGGTTGTTTGCCCCCCCTCCAGCTCCCAGCAGCACTCTATAAACCTCCATAAGGCTATGCATGCAATTTTTTTGGACAAAAAACAAGCCTGTTTTCATGAAAAACGGGCCGTATTTTGCTTGTTTTTGCCCCCCCCCCAGGAGCCCTCTACAAGCCCCCCCCCCCAAGGCTATTCATGCCTTTTAAAAAAATACGGGCCTATTTTCATGAAAAAACGGGCCGTTTTTAGGAGGTTTGCAGAGTGCAAAAACTTTTTTCCCCCTTTTGGAAAGCTCTTTAACTGATAGATGAGAATTACATTGATCAAGTGCTGTGCCAGCAGAAACACCTACCTATCTACTGTATTTCTCTCTCCATTTCACTCTCTCTATCCCTCTACCTACCTACCTACCTATACACACTCTCTCTCCCTACCTACCTACTGCATTTCTCTATCGCTATTTCTCTCTATCCCTTTATCTACCTAACTACTCTCTCTATCCCTACCTACTTTCTCTCTCTACCCCTCTACCTACCTGCCTACCTACCTACCCACACTCTCCCTATCTACCTACTGTATTTCTTTCTCTCTCTCATTGTATTTCTCTCTCCCTATTTCTCTCTCTATCCCTCTACCTACCAACTTACCTACTCTCTCCCCCTATCTACTGTATTTCTCTCTCTCCATCCCTCTACCTACCTACCCTCCCTCTATCTCTCTCTATCCCTTTATCTACCTACCTATCTAACTACTCTCTCTCTCCCTACCTACCTACTGTATTTCTCTGTCTTTCTCTCCTTGTCTATCCCTCTATCTACCTACCTACTTAAAAAAAATGCCTCTTCAAAACCTTGGTGTGTCTTATACTCCAGTGCATCTTATACTCCGAAAAATATGGTAATGGTTAGAGAAAATGATAAAGCAACACATAGATTTAAAACCAGAAATATTCTTGTTAGGTATATTATCAGAACATTATAATAAAGGGATTACATATTTAATAATACATGTGCTGACTGCAGAGGTAATTGTATGTGCACATTATTGGAAAAATGAGGATACACCTACAGATGAAAGTATAATTAGAAAAGTATTAGACTGCAGAGATGGATTGACAACAATAAAAGATAAGGAAGAAACAATATTTTTATACATAGGATGTTTTATCAATGGTTAGATAAAAGAGGCAGAACTTAAGAGGATGAAAGTTTACTGTATAAATGATGTAAGAATTTTATTATATATAAGCAAATATTATTATTATGGTTATTATTACTTTTACCAGTATTTTATTAATAGTTTGTATAAGCAAATTTATACAGACAATACACTGTTTATTAAGCATTTATGTATTTTAAAGAAGAAAAATGTATAAAACAAAACAAAAAAGAATAGCACTACTGATCTCGTTTGAACCTGCAGTACACGAGGGCTCCATTCTTTGCGTACTCACCAAAAGCCTGAAGCGCCAAAACAGATCAAGAAAGAAAAGGATCTCTAGATCTTTGCAAGGTGAATACAGTATTCTTAGGCCTAGTGCCGATGAAGACCCAGAGTGGGGGATTGGCAGTGGGAATATTGCAGAGCTTTTGATTGTTCATTAGTAAGGACAAACAACTGCAGTGGTAAATTTGTAATTTTGGGACTTTTTCACAACACTACGGAGCGCTCATCACACAACTTTGAATGTTCACTAAGGGAACGCTCATAACCCGGAGATTACTTGTACTAGAAACCAGATGAAGTGGTTATTTAGCCTGAGGATCTTCTTAGGCTCCAAAAGCATAATGCCAATATTCACTTAAGGAAGAAAGCCAAACAAAAATCTTTAGTTAATAGCAGATTAATTTTAATATAGTATAAAAACATTTGGTCTCAGTTGTCAACATAAAGCATTATGAATCAGAGTGGACCCAAATAAGGCACTTATTTAATGTAGAAGAGTCCTTTAAAATTATTCCAGTAAAACCTCAGAATGTATCTTCCCTCACTTTTTAATGCAATTTCTCTCCTTTTTTCCTATGAGATACAAAGAGTCTGAAAACAAACAGAATCTAATTAACATGTAAAAATGAATGTCTGTGGAGATTCTCAATCATCCAGGTCATGGTTTTCCCAAAAGGTGCTTTTCTAAAAAAAAACTTTTAGAAAACTGGACTTCCTTGGGTTTTTTTCCTTCAAACATTTCGCTTCTCATTCAAGAAGTTTCTTCAGTTTTGACTGAATGGGGCAGAAGGGAAGGAACAACCAAATACTGCCAAAGAATATAAATCCTCCCATTTGCCATTGTCCAGTCACAATTGAAGAAGCTTCTTGGATGAGAAGCAAAATGTTTTTTTTTAAATAAACAAAGTAAGAAAGTCCAGTTGGAAAAGCACTTTGGGACATACAGAAATGTACAAATATAGCAAAGCCATGATCACATTTCTGCCAACTAAGAGAGCTCACAAATGCAATCTCAAGTGAGAAGCAGCATAAGACAGGTTTCTGTGATAGATTATAAAATAACATAGACTATAAAAGAGCACCAAATATTAAAATAAAATATTGAGCCCATTAGAGATTGGCCTTCATATTCCTAACTAATATAACCTTCTCTTAAAGCAGGATTCATTAATCACCCTTCCCAGAGATAATCCTCATTGCCAAATCACAACAGTGTTTTGCAGCACTATTGTTTCTAGAGCTAAAATCAGTCTTGAAATATCTCCAACAACCCTGTCCATGGCACTTTTATTTAGAATGTATTGTATCAATAAACTCTAATGTTAATTGGTCTGTTTTTAAGCTGTACAGAGAATTCACTCATGGGCTTGCCTCATCACTAACCAAATTCATGCAGTAAGACAACTAAGTGCTGGAAATATCTATGTCCTCTTTCTCAATCATATACAAGCGCACACTTCAAGGACTTATGCATGAGCTTCCATTATGTACAGAAGAAGAGAATCCCTGTTCATAATTAGTAATACTTCAGATGTGGAATTTTAAGGATTGCATGAACAAATTACACAGCTGCTAAAATTAGACCATTTGGACATTTGTAAATAATCTAATGACCTCTTTCAAAACAATGAAAGACTGATAACATAATTTAGCTTTTGTCTACAATTGCCGAACTAGGTCTTATAGTTGCCCCATCCCAAACTTTTCTGAGGTGATCAATATCAGTTACCTGAAAAGTAGCCATTATGTATAACTTTTGTAGTTCTGCTTGCAATAGAATGATCATTTGTGGTACAAACAGTGATTTAGAGCACATAAATATCTCCTAGTAGAGACCACTTAAAGTGATCACATTGAACTTCAGCAGGAATTTTAAGGATCAGAATTATATTCCTGAACGTAGATTTTGGCCAGTCATCAAATCTTGAGGAAAAAATACTCCTCATATCTAACTGGTTAAACCAACTTTGGCAACCCTAAACAGCATTCTTATTGCACATTTTTAGAAGCTGTCCCATCAAGATGACAGATTACCGTAAATTTTTTTTGGGATTGTACAATTTTTGAAATATAATTAACCCATCACCAGTTAAATGTGTAGGAAAATAGTTGCATTATTTTTGCTTAGCAGTGATACCTTAAAGGTATCTGTCAAGTACACAAATATTGAAAGAACAAACATTTGTAAAGATACATTATGTTAATCACTTAATATATCCACAACCATCATTGGATCATAAAGTGGTTCAAAGGCTTCTTGCGCAGCCATCTCCGATGGAGCAACTGTTGCAGTCCCAGCTGGTGGAGCCTTCTTGCAATTCAGGTCTGAAAAGGGACTGAACCATCGCAGTGAAAAATTACCCCCAAAAGCCAGTTTCATCCCTTCCCAGCCATTGGTTTTTTCCCAGGATGGCTGCTCTTTTTTAAGCCGTTCTATGCCCTGCAGAAGACAAAACAGTTTACATTTATTCATTAAAGGCACATGGAACACTGTTATAATGTGATGGATAATAGCCTAAATAATTTAAGGAATCTTCTGAAAGTAGATAGAGAAAACTTTCAAAAGAAAAAATATATGACTCTACAATGTTCTTCAGCCATTAGGAAACCAAAGAATATCACAATCAGAAAAATATTGGAAAATATTTATCTGCAACTAGTGAAAAAAATTATATACTCTTACTATACTTTAGATTAGCAGATGCCAAATTAAAATCTGCTACCTAGAATTGTCTACCTAAAATTTCTACCTAGAATTCCCTAAGATACCTTAGTTATATCTCAGAATTTTTCTGATTAGGATTACATAAATCTTATTCTGGAATTTAAAGGTTAATATTTTTGCGTATACTTATTTCTGTTTGTATTTCTTAGAATAACTTGTATGGATTCCACACAAGACTTTTATTGTACAACTTTCTTAATGGAATTGTACAAGGGCTCAGGTTATGCCATCTTTAACTTCTAAACCTTTTATTCCTCCACCCACCTTTTCTTCACACAGAAAATCCATCAGAAGACGACAATGAACAATGTACCTATGGATATGGTCCAAAACTTGCACATACAGCCAACCCTATGTTCTCTTCTCAACATTCAGGAAACTTCAATATGCAAAAATTCTTTGCACGTACTAATAGATGTGCACGTCTATGGAAACTATATCTAATGTTTCAAATGTATTCTTTAAGATAGAGAGTATGTTTTAATTTTAAGGCAGTTTCCTGTGTTCAAAGGCTACAATTACAGAATTAGAGGGATAAAGATGGGGAAAAACAATTTCCAAAGCAATATATAAATATAACATTTTTACATTTAAAATACTCAAATAAAATTTAATATAATGAAATAAAAAGCATTGATCTAAAGTTAACATATTAAGCCAGAGATTTTATTTTATAAATGCATTTCTAAGTGATCCCTTCCAACAACAGCCTTCTGATTCTATTAAAAGCTTTTCTGGAAGATTTCAAAATGCAAGCAAAATGAGACACATTACTGCCATGTTTAAACAGTGATTAAGGAGGCAGTTTTAATTATAAAAAAATGTATGGTGGTTAAAAATTTGGAAAAATAGCATTGGTAATCTGGGACAATAGAGAAAATAACATATTTTAGAAATGTATTTTGCCATTGACTACATAGATTCATTTGCAACTCACAATGAAACACATAAAAAGGGAATTAAGCATTGGAGAATCAGTATGTGCATCATTTTTATATTGAATTCAGTAAGCTGCTGCAACTACAAAATGTTTATCTGATTTCATTCTAGATGTAAGGTTCCTATTCCTCTTTTAGGTTTATTAGGGAAAAAACCAAATGCATCTATGCAATCAGTTACCAACTTGATGTTTTTGAGCTACCCTCTAGATACCCTTGATCCCATGTTTTGGATTTTATGAATCAATGCTATGATTTCCTGTAGGTGAAATTCCCCACTTAATGTGGAAATGCTACAATTATATTTTAGAAATCCAAAAACTTTAGGGGTTTATTCCAGAGTATGTTAGTTTCTGGGCAATCTCCAATGTTGTACTTTCAAAAACAAGTGCTATGAAATATTATAAATCTACAGTTTGGATTGGATAACCATCAGAATCAGGTTTATTATGTTCTAGTAATAAACTAGTATGGACCATATTACAAAAAAATTGAAATTACTTATCTTATACAGTAACTCTGATTTGCATATTTCTATGTTATTCATAGTGTTTGTCCAATTTGTGTTTGTATTCACTTTGGAAAGAATAAAGAACCAAATTCAATGTAAAATCATTTATTTGATTTGAATGTAAATAATTGTATTTATTGATAGCTAGGCAAACATATAATTATTTGACATTTTTTTCAGAGATAGACAAACTAGTTTATTATAGCAAATCCAAAATGGTATCCTGTGACAAATTCATTGCAGTATAATTTTTATGATCCACCAAAAATACACCATAAAATAATACAGTTAACAACAACACCCATCCTCAGATCTATTTTATATCTAGCAAAATATTTAAAACTTAGAAAAACGTAGAATATCCTGCCAAAAATTCATCAAAATGATCCAAGCCTCCATGGAGATAAAATTCTACAGTTAGAAAACTGATGAAAACTGGATCAGAAAATGCTCTCTCATCACTGGAAAATTGGTCTGCTGGAATAAATGTGGTAAATTACTTTTAATATGTAGAGTAAGACCTAGACACATTTTCATATTCTCTTTTCAATATCTTGTTTTATAAATCACTGAGGTTCTTTGTCTAATAGGCTAATACTTATAGTATCATTCATAAAAAAATCTAAATTATGATCTAAATATAATCGCTTAAAATAAGTTTCACTGAACTCAGTGATTCTTACTTCAAGATTGATAGGTAAAAAATCTATTTCTTTTTCTTATGTATTTTTTTCAAAACATCTCTTAATGCATTTCATCAAGGGTTACTGATCCACAAAATACATTCTTCTGCACTAAGCATTTTAATATGTAATTGTGGAAATAAGAAAGTAGTTTTGTTACAAAAATGTCTGCTTGCTTGTTGAATGCACAATGATAGAATATAAAAGTGTAGCCAAAGTACTTTTTGATTCAAATAAATTTAACACTAATTACTCAACTACTTACAATCTAGAGGACAATGGAATTTAAAAGAACTTGTTTTAAATAAAGGCACAGAAGCAGAGTTCAGAAAAGATTTATTGCATTTGTTTCCCATATGGAAGCATTGACAGTACTGAAAAAAATGCAGCATTCACATTATTTTCAAAATGAGACCATCAGAATTTTTTAAATCCAAAATATGCAATGAAATCCCTGCCAAAGCATTACAGACTCACTCAGTTTGTGTGTAAGATGTTCTACTTATGTTTGTTTTAAACAGAATGCCTTCTTTTTAGTCCTCATCTCCAAGCTCTTACTATGTATGCAGTTTGCCATCCATGTAATCATGAATGAAGGCATGCATGATCTTTTTATACATGATAGTTCTAATTGTTATGTATGTATGTATGTATGTATGTATGTATGTATGTATGTATGTATGTATGTATAGAATTAAAGCAGAACAAGTATCTAAAGATATAAAAAGGAGGTAATGTTAAAAAGAAAATTAGAGGACAATGCTAGACTTTTACCTGGATTTTAAGCCTCTTCTATACATGAACTCTATTCATTAACCATTCCCCTTTTTTTAATTAATACAAATTTTATCTTGCTATTCTACACATTTAAATCAACCTCATATTTCTTCAATTATAAGGCATTACAAAGCCATACATATCACAACCTTCCTTTATATAACCAATAGTGACAACAATTCCTGCTTTCCAGAAAGATATGGTTTAAAAACAGCACAAGAAGAATTCTGTAGCTCTCCAAAATACAATAGTATTGGCAACATATTTTAAAGCTTAAAAACTAAGCAAAGTTATCAACCGGCTTTCTAGTTGAGCCATATTTTCCTCTTCCATTGTGTCAGACATTATGTGAGGCTTTAACTCAGACGCACACAAAATACCACAATATAAAATAATTTCTGCCACAAAGAAGTTCATGACTACACATATAAGATGATATTCCTGGCATAGGCTGTTGTTTAGTGGTTGTGCAAATACTACACAGTCAGCATAGGTGGGCAGAGAGAGAGGAGTTTCTCCTTTACATTAGTTGTGTCAGCAAGCAGACAGGGAAAAAATAAGCCAGTCAAATTATTAAGTAAAAAGAAGAAAACGCTTCAGCCAGAGATGAAGAATTAACAAAGTTTGCAGAATACAGACCTTTTCCCCCCCTCATCTTTTCTTTGCAGTTATCTGCCTTTTTACAGGCAGTTTTTCTTTAAACAAAAGTTTTTTTCATTGGAAACATTCATGTGTAATAGCCATAGTGCCGCAAATGCAGTTTTGTTTGGGTGAAAATGTTGTCATGAATTCTTAGACCACATACTGATATGGGTCGGCTTTTCCTTGGTCTGGAGTAGCAAATGGGCTAAGCCAAACTATAGAGAACGGATGGCCGAATACTGCTTTCATGTTCATCCATTTTGTTTTTTTAGCCCATCTTCTCTCTTCTTTTTTCAACTGTTCTATTCCCTGAAAACAGAAATATGACATTTTCAGGCAGGAACTTATTTTGTACTTCTGGTTTCGGGGAAAAGATTCCCTCTTATATAGCCTTTATAAAATGGCTGGAGCAGGAAAATACTAAGATTTTCTAAACATATTTTTCAAATGTTAACAAAGGCTGGCAGGGGGATAGAAAACCAATAATGTAGAAATGAAAAAAAATCATAGTTGCCATGATAACTTTAGGAGTTGATATTAATATTCTCCTTCCCTCAAATAATTAACAAACCAATTATGTTTTATTGAAACATAATTATTGATTTATTGATTAATAAGAAAATATATACACTTCCAGATTTAAGAAAAGCCTCAGCGATTACTTTTCCAGTTTCATTTAATCGTAAGTTTATTTTCTGCAATTCTGATGCCATTCAGATGCACTAAAGTTTTATTTTCCCAAATTCCTCAGCTAGTATGACTGCTGACCTATATAGCAACAAGTTACAAACCCAGCACATCTGAAGGGCATGTAGTTAGAGAAAGTTGCAGTCACTTGGCAGCATTAGAAAGAATTGCAAGGTAATGTATGAGTATAGAAAAGGAGGAGACAGGAACAATATTAGCTTAGGAAAATTCAGAAGAAGAATACATGTCAGATGAGTTTCTAATACTTCAGTAATAAGCACCTGCACCTGCATTCAGAATCGGTTAGGCTATAAAAATTACACATTAGATATTTTTGGAAATCAATCCATTCTCCTTCTTTCAGGTCAATTTTTCAAGTGATGCTTATAAATACAGGAACAATAGAGTCGGTTCTGTTACTGTCCTTAGTAAATTGGTCTGGATATCAAATTATTTGCCTTAGTAGTGAATGGACAATTCAGATTACATTCAGTCACTTCTCCCAAAATGGGTGTGGTGGATTATTATGATGGATCTCTCCATAGTTTGCTTAGCACATCACTGCATGAAATAGACAAGACAGAGAAAGAAATACAAAATAAGGTGGTTCCTTTCTCTGGTTTGCTTTACCTGAAAAAAAAAACAAGTCCACACAGCTCACCCTTGCACGCTATTTGGTCATGTTACATTATATATGATGTTCAAACTGGAAAACTGCATTGACGCCAGTGAAAAACTTTTGGAAAAACAAAATTTAGACACAAAAGCACAGTGACAATGGATATAGAAACAATACTGTAGTGCTTGACTTACACAATTCATTTACTGACCGTTCTAAGTTACAATGGCACTGAAAAAAGTGATTGTTTCTCACACTTATGATCATTGCAGTATCCCCTGATCTCATGGTCATGTGATCAAAATTCAGGTGCTTGGCAACATGTTTATATTTATGTTGGTTGCAGTGTCCCGGGGTCATGTGATCATCTTTTGTGACTTTATGACAAAGTCAATGAGAAAGCCAGATTCACTTAACTGTGTTACTAACTTAACAACTTCAATAATTCACTTAACAACTGTGGCAAAAATGGCTGTAAAATGGGGCAAAATTTACCTGACAATTGTCTTGCTTGGCTTTAGAAATCTGGGATTCAATTGTGCTCATAAGCTGAGGACTACCTGCAAAGGGATACAATATTGCCTCTTCCAAAGAAGGTAATATTTAAAATAGAGAAAAAATACAGGATGCAGCCAAAATATAGTATTCTGATAGAATATAGCTTTTAAGTTGATCACAGTCAGACTTTCACAAAGAAAATATTTTGGTATACAATATTGCAAAAAGAGGTAGAAATACATTTTAAGCTCACTGTTAAAATATCAAAAAAGAAAAAGATTCTGAATGTAATTTTATATAAGTTGTTGTATGAAATATGTACCCATCAATCTAATTAGTAAAAGGACTCAGGGAAATCAGAAAAATCATAAAACCATCAAATTAATATTTAATTACTAAAAAACTGAGCAAAAACCATGTTGACTTATGTTTAGCATGTTTTGCTCAGACAACTCTTATTTATGATTGTGAAGTAAATTCTGAAGTTAAGTATTATGTAATGGAGTAATAAATTAAATAATGACTGCATTTAGACATAACAGTGAATGTTGGCTTGCATTATGACAAGTCATAAATGTCAAGCATGTTTACTAATTTATTTATCACTTTACATGCTGCTCCAGTCAAACTTATTCTGAATAGCTTACAAATCCTCCTGAAAGACAATAAAGTAATATATAGATCACATCTAAATAATTTCCCACCAATGTAATATACCTTTCTCAAGGGAACAGTCCATCTACCATTCTTTCCCTCTAGTTCATAACAGCTCTACATAACACTACAGTAAAAATGGAATCAGTCTCATCTGTGAAGGAAATGTGCTGCAAAGGATATGGGACTATTACTGAAGAGGCTCACTCCTGAGGTCCCTAATTCATCCTGTCATTCCATCCTCACTGAAAGGGTAAGAAACTTCTGATATCAGTTCTCATATATGCAATTGCTATTAAATTTTTTAAAGCCAGATCATGAAGCAGCATAAAAATACTAATAATAAATTAGCAGCTAGATGAATAACATGATTTTTGTTTAAACTCAGCAAAATTATACTTTACCCAATATAAAATCCAAACCAAACTAAAACTATGATTTGAGATCTTATTATGTGGCATAGTGCTAGCTTTCAAAATTTATCAGTTCTATTTATTTATAAATTACTTTAATGCTTAAATATTTATATAATCATAGACTACAATACATAAAAGTGGAACAAACATAAACTAAAATAAGCATAAAAATGTAAAATATTTATAAAATGCAAAATCATAATATTTAAGCATGTCTCAAATTTTAAAATGTCTGGAATGTAAATTTTGGGGGTTGGTGTTATATTTCCCAATTACTACACTAAATCTAACTTCTTTTACACACTTCTGGGTTAAAAAGTAAATGAGCAATGTTTAGTGTCACCCAAATAAGATGATGAAAAAGGTGGAACAATTAACAAATACTGAACCGACCGTTGACTTACCTGAACGGTCCTTCTATGTGTGCTGCGAAGGGAATCCAATCATGGGTTAACTTTGTCCTTTAGCCTAGAGACTGAGTATGTAAATTTGACCATGCCTCCTCTGACTGGACCGGGTCAGTTTTGCACGAAGTCAGCCGAGAAGATATATGTCAATGTCACTCATGGCCTTGGCCAAACAAGAACTCAAAGTCACGTCCAGAAATGTCCAGTCAGGAGAAAATACAAGGTTAGTCACAGAGACATAGTCAAGGTGGAACCCTGGCCAGCTGAAACAGCGGGCGGTTTGGATTCCCTTCGCAGCACACATAGAAGGACCGTTCAGGTAAGTCAACGGTCATTCTCCTGTGTGCTGCTCTGGGAATCCAATCATGGGACATGCCAAAGCAATTAAGTCCCAGGGCGGGAGCGAGGCTGGTCAGGGCCCTCCGGAAAAGGAGAGAGAAAGCACCCGCTGCAACACCCGCCAACCAAGGGAGGCCTCAGCTGAGGCATACATGGCAATCCTGCAATGTGTCATAAATGGCGGCGGCAACGACAAGGTAGCCGCCCTGCAAGTCACCTTCACTAAGGCTTGCGCAGCCCAGGCCGCCGTGAGAACCGCACTCCTGTGGAAGAAGGGGTGACGCGCCGTTAAACCGGTCGGAACCGGCCGTCGTAAGCAAGGGCGAAACATGCCCTTAACCAATGGCCGATGGAATGGGAAGAGACCCTCCGCCCATGGAGAAAACCTTCCCCAGGAGGAGACAGAAGTGCTTCCGACCCCCTGAACGACGCCTTGCGTTTCACGTAGCGCTGAAGAGTTCCGTGGGCACCCAGGTGATGTCACTGGCACTCCCCTGGATGGGAAGGCGAGAACCAAAATCCGGGAGGACGAGCTCCTGCACCCTGTGAACAGGGTGTCGACCTTAGGAAAGAATGCCTGGTCCAGACAGAACCCAACTCTGTCGGAACAGAATATACAAGAATTGTGCGAACTGAAATTGCCGCCAGCACCGATCCCTCCTGGCCGATGCAATGGCCACTGACAATGCTGCGTTAAAAGTCAACCGACGGAGGATGATCGGTTGGATGGCCGAAAGGTGCGGCCATGAAGGCCCTGCGCATCTGCTACGGGCTCCAAATAGGATCGCGGTGCATGGTTCGAGGTCCGATGTTCGCTGTCCCCTTCAGAAAGGAGTTGAGCCTTGCGAGCCGAGACAGTGGGCGGCCTCAACTGCCACGATACGGCCGCGACTTGGGTACGAGGAGTGTGGGAGCCAGATCCTTGTCAAGTTCCCTTAGCGAAAAGGTCTAACACCCGAGGCACCAAAGCCCTGAGGGGGCCAGCCCCGGTACAATGGCACCACCTGCGGAAGGCCTGCCCGGTGGCCTTGCAAACCCAAGTCATGGATGGATGACGGGCTGCTTGAATAAAGTCAACTACCTTGCTGGAATAGCGTAGTGCAGACAGAATAACCCACTCACGCACTACACGGCAAGTTGTAGCAGCTGGGAATTCGGGTGGCTGAGAGCCCCCTGGTTGAGCTGAAACTGATCAATCAGAACCTTCCCCCACGCGACACGTGAGCTGAACGAGCTTGGTGTACCAAGGGCGCTGGAACCACGTTGGGGCGACCAGTACACTTCCGCCTGTTCCACCAGTATCCTTCGAGCGGCCAGTGGGAGGATCGGGAGAGGCAGAAATACATAGAGCAGGCCGTCCGGCCACAGTCACGGCGAACATCCTCGCCCTCTGTCCCGGTACCTGATGTGAAACCGGGAAGGAAAGAATTGTGATGCTGAGCCACAGACCCACCTCGGGCTGGCCGAGCCGGCGAGAGAGCCCCTGAAGAGTCGGCCCTCCACCCTGTGGTGTAGCCAATTGATACCTGGCATCCATAACAACCTGAACGAGGTCCATTCCCTGAACGAGCTCCCCCTGAGGAGCCAGGGGAGGTCCACCATCGGAGGATCTGGGTGACCTGGGAAAAACGAACCTAGGTGTGAGAATGGCTGGTGTGTGTGTGTGTGTGTGTGTGTGTGAGAGAGAGA